CCCTACAGGAACAGAGGGAGAAGGTGAGGGCTGTTTTGCTGCAGAGTTGGATCTCTCTCGTCCCACAGAATGAGCAGAGGACTCTGAAGTTGTCCGTGACCTTCGCCCATAGCCCTGCAGAACAAATGGACAGGAAGGCACAAAGTTGTCACTGCTGGAGAAATTACATTTCAGCTTGCTAAACAATCTCCTTCTTTGAAAAGTTAGCACTGGGAAGAGATGCAAAAGCACATAAACAAATACAAATAATTAAGAATGAAGATGCAGTGAAAGGAATGGCCTGCTCATGGCACAGAACACGTGCTGGAGAGTGAGCTGCAGCTCTGGATCTTCAGCCTGGTGCCTGGTAAGCTACAAAGCCAGGACATGCACAATAAGCAAGCAGCTAAATATCTGACAAAACTGTTTATCAAAACATCCCACACCATTAAACATACTGAACCTGGTTATTTGGGTACTTCCATCTCCTCTGACATGCAGAAGGTTAAGAAAAGAGCTGAAGCCTGGCCAGATAAGAGGTCCATTAAAAAGAGGTAAATCAGGGCAGTGCTGAGCAGCTTAACCAACCCACAAGATAGAAAAATGCTGCACCAGGGAGTGACTCCTGCATTTTTTTTTGCCCTCTAACATTAGGTTGTTCTTTTAAAGCTCGTGTAGCAACTCAAGCATAAAAAACCCAAACAGCTACTGTTTTTTCTGTAAGTACAGTTAACTTCCAGTTAAAAAGTCACCCCATCCTTTATCAGGCACCACATATATCCCTATTAAAAATGTTCATTGTAATTATTTCAAACAATTGGCATCTCAGGAGATTAATTTGCAAGTAGATAACTTCAGTGATATTTAAACAGTTAAAATACTATATATTTTAAGAAAGGGATTTGGGATTTTGATAAACACCTTTCCAATTTTCAGCTGTGGCCACGTGGCAGTCAATACTGTGCTTTTAAAACTGTTCTTTAGGGCCTGCTTGCCTCACTTGGTCATGTATGCCACAAGTTCTTCTGGCTATCAAGAATTATTCTGGGAGATAGGAAAGGAAGGCAGGCCAGAGAAAGGTAAATTAAACTCCTCAGACAACAGCCTGATAATCTCGTCCCTCCCCCTTTAAAAAAAAACAACAAAAAAACAAGAGAAGAAAATTATGGCTAACATTTTTCTACTGTTTCTTCATTATTTATTCCACTGAAAAGGAAGGACAGGGGGGATGAAAAACTAATCTTCAAGTCTTGCTGAAGAGTAAGATGGAGCCCAAACACATTTGTGTTTGCAAAGATCTGCAATGAAGCTGACATTTGCTGAAGAGATGTAGGAAATAAAGATACCATGCTAGCCATTCTGCCATAGAAATCCTCCTCTCTCTGTTCTGGGAAGGAGTTTTGTGAAGACTCTGGGGCAATTCTCTGCATTCCTTAAGAAACAAATGACATTATGTTAACAGGGAGGAACACCACAACACCAAAACCCAAACAACACAACAGTTTTAAGATAAAAGTTCTCACTAGTTACGATTTTTGTGCTGGAAAGCACTTGATATTTTAAAGAATGTGAACTGCAGTTGGTCTGATTGGGTTTTTTCTCAAATAATGTTTGTTCCAACCTCAGGTCAGGGCAGGCTGAGGGGATGCAACCACCAGTATGGGGCAGTTTAAGGTCCTTCACACCTCTGCCAAGCTTGTGCATGTCTGCCTTCACACATGTCACAGAATTAAAGACTATCAAGAGTCGCAGAACCTGACATCCAGAGGCAGAAATCCCCAAGGCTCCAATCCCAGAGCTTCCAAACAGAACTGCCAATTCCAGTGCACTCTGAATCATTCCACAATGCAGAAGATTACCTGCTAATTTCTAAATCATAGTTTGCTGAGCCTAACCTTTTTTTTAAACTAAGCCAAATAAGCAGGATGAACACTGTAACTTTCTACAGATATTTCTGTGCCACTACATTGTGTTTTTAAATTCCATTACCCAAGGCTTGACTTACTATTTTCTAAACATTGAGATATTTTAAATTATTCCCCCAAATCCTTCCTTTCCCTTATAAGGGAGGGAAGCTGTTGTCATAGATTCCAGACCTGTTTCTGGGTTTGTCTGCTCTTCTGACCGTGGTTCCATTTCTTGTGGTGGCCCTCCTGGTGGCAGTGCTGACCCTAAGTACAGCGGCGATGGTTCAGTTCCATATGGATTTGCATATCCTGGAGGTGCAAAGCCAGGTCCTGGACCAACAGGCTGAGAAGCCACTGGATAGAATGGGACACTTCGGACAGCTTCTTGGTCACCAGGAGGAATCATAGCAGCTGACCCATCAAGGACAGCCTGAGGGACTGCAGCACACACACAAAATAAAGGTAAGAAATTCCAGTGTGAACCTTTTACCCTATGATAACAGGATACAATGCAGAAGTGAAATTTCAGCTTCTACCACCCACTTGTATCTTATACAAGAAACCTGAATTATTTCTCTGTCACACACTACTAACCTGAAGGCATAAGCTGCACACTTTGCATCTGTTGAGCCATGTTGGGCAATAAGGAAGCCAGCAATGCATTTTCAGCACCTGGACCCACGTCCCTGCCAGCTCCTGCTCCATCACACTGACTGCCATGGTCCAGCTCCGAGCTCGGGGTGCTGCAGCCATATGGTGGGGGAGTGGATCTGTCTGTGCTATAAGCTATTGCACCCTCCTGCACAGGAAAGGAAGAACTTAAGAACTGGGCCTGACATGAAGTTCATAACCAAAGCAACATACAGCAAAGGAAATCTCGAGTGAAAAGAGCACATAGGTTTTTGTGTTGTTTAGTCAACAAATGAGCTGTCAGCCATTTACAGAACAAGTTCAACCCAATAATTTGAAGTTTTTTGGCTTTTTTCTTGTCTGTTTTTTTAAATGGCAGTTTAGATAATTAGCTGAAGGCTCACATTTCTGACAGATCTTTTTAAAGAAGAGGTAATTTACATCTAGCTATAATAATTCACACTCAGGTTTTGTCTCTGGCAAGCAGATTCTCTGCTTAGTGGGTATTACTGAAACCTAATAAGCCTTGCACTTCTCCTTGCATTACAGAACTAAGAAAAGCCTATTCCATACAATGAACAACACCTTTTGACTATTCTCTATTGAATTTCAGGGCACTGAAGTGTGGTAAATCCACTTGGTTTGAATCATAACACTTGCACTTCGTGACATGAATGTGGTCACTTTGTACATTTCTGTAATTAGCAGTATAAACAAAACCATTCAAAGAAATGGATTTACACTAAGAGTGAGTACTTGAGAGAGAGCACTTCATGTTGGAAAGTACATTCTGTACCTTGATCTGTTCATCCACATGTCGCAGCCTTTTTAGCCATGAAGGTTCAATAAAAGATTCCTGTTCTGGTTTTTCTTTTATCTGTGGGTCAAACAGGCGCAGCTGGGATGACATCTAGGGAGAGGAACCAGTAAGTTAATCAGCCAACAAAAGGCACCTTTAGCCACAGCTCACCACCTACAACATGAAGCCACAAATACTTAATTCTTCCTGAAGTTACCTGGATTAGCTGGCCAATAAGTACAGGTGAATAGTAATGTGGATCTTTGAGGACAGTTCTGGAAATCACCTCACAGTAATGGAAAGCCTGAGCAGCAAGTCCCATTTCAGCCAGTCGGCAGGCATAGATGAATTTGAAAACCTAGGGAGTGCAAGCAGGGGAAATAAACCAAGTGACCCAAACATGCACAGTGGTATCAACTGAAAAGGAGTCTGACATTTCAGCTGAAAGCTCAGATAACCCATGATCACATCTATAATAGGTAGGGGGAAAAACTGAGGGGAAAAAGCATTCCACTCTCTTCTTTCACCCAATGTATGCACAATGGGAGGTGTCTGTTTGTCTACAGCTAGTGCCAAAACATGCTGCTGGATTCTTCTTTTGGAATAGAACTCAAGTAACAAAAAATTCAGATATTCAGAATGCACAGATGAAAAATGTGAAAAGGAGATCTAAGTGAGAGGAGGAAACAAGCTATCTTGCATTGCATTATCCACAAATCTTCTGTGTTACAATGGACAAAGTATTTGCTGTGCTGAATGCAGCAGGTCAGAAATTAAAGCCTAACATAAAACCTGCCAAAATGAAACTTAAAGAAACAGCTTCTCACCTGGAAATTGGGCAAACAGCCAGGCTGAGTTCCTAGTGACTGTGCATACTCATAGGCCTCTGTTCTTTGAATGGCTTCATTGGTGGCAAACTTAAAAAATGGCAAGCTGTTTGAGAACAGGAGAGGAAAAATATTGTTTAACATGATATTACATAGGCTGACAACAAATACAATTGGAAATTAAGTCAGAAACATCACTCTGCTAGGAACTAGGTATCAGTAACTTCTACTCCTTAAACAAGGACAGGGCAGCAAATAGTGATCTCAAAGCCAGCTGGGGATAGTGATTAAGAGGAACAGTACAACTCAGTCTCTCAAACCACGAGGCTTTCACTTGTGCCTTTAAAAAGTTGTGTTTAAAAAAAGAAAGAAGGAAACCCAAACCTATGATTTGATCCAATTAGGACAAGCTTTGTTGTCTTCCTTGTGTAGACTCCAAAACCAATTTGGGCCATAAGGTAACAAAAATGAGCAGCATCCAGCAGGCCTTTAGACGCTGTAGAGAAATAAGCATATTCCCTCTCAGTGTCCCAGTGTAATTCAGTGTCCCATATTGTTTTTGCTTTACATTTAAATATCTCCACAATAGAGACACACCCAAATAGAACTGTTTCACTCCACATTTTACACAGCAATTGCTTGTTTTCAAAACACATAGGCTGATTAATTAAAGCTTCCAGAAAGCTTTTCCTTCAGTCATCACCCTGTTTGTTCCCCAAGAGTTACCAAGAGTGTCTCCCATGGTAGCAATGGTCCTGGATTCCAAGTCCACATTATTGGTCAAGTTGGATAACACCATTGCTAGATGAGGCCTCCAGTCTCCCCATTTCTCATCTCCACAGCACTAAAATTAGAAGAATTACTTAAGTCAAATCAGTGACTCAAGCTCTGCATGGGTAAGTGTTTCAACCTAAAAAGGACTGAAACAACTTATCTGACAATCCTAGGAAAAGCACATGGAAAGATGAGTGTTGGGAACTACCCACTGCAGAACCTCCCCAGTCTCAACTGCAGCTCACACTTGAATCTTACCGTGGATGCAGCTGGCATCCTTCCAGACATCAGCTGGTAAACAGTCTGCAGAGGGTCATTAATTGGGAGACTGTTGGCAAATCTACAGAGACATACAGAAAGACAAAACACAAACATGGAGTAAGTAGTTAAAATGTACTTGAACACTCAGTGGCTGTTAATCCAGCTTAGTTTAAAAGAAGGAAGTGCTGTTTGAAAATACTACACTTGAATAAGCAACTGCCCAGTGGGTCATGTTCAAAAGTTACTAGTTAACTGGATCTGAGTTAAGAAGAAAGAGAGAAAGATTTTCTGCCTACAGATAAAGCATGCAGGAACCATCTGCTCCTTCAGGCAAGGAGAATGAAGGGTACAAGAGTCACTTGGCTTTAACAAAGCAGACAGTTGGGTTTTTGCAGTTTTTTCAAGCCCAGCTAACAGGACCTGTCCAGCAGGCCCACAGAGGACCCTCATCAAATACCCTTTGAATGGAGCAAGTGGCACAGAATAACTTCTCAGGTCTAAGCTCTGGAGCCCCCAACACAAGATGGACGTGCACCTGTGGAGTGTGTCCAGAGAAGGGCAGTGAAAATGATCAGAGGGCTGCAGCAGCTCTCTTGTGAAGCCAGACAGAGAGTTGGGGTTGTCCAGCCTGGAGAAGAGAAGGCTCTGGGGGACCTTATGGGGACCTTCCAATACCTGAAAGGAACCTATAAGAAGGCTGGGGAAGAGCTGTTCACAAGGGCAGGTAACAACAGGGCATCTAACAATAGGACAAGGGGTGATGGTTTCAAGACAGAGAAAGTTCTCCTTAGCAGAAGAGGCAGGCACATCATACTAAGCAAGAGGTAAAACAGTACCTGGTCATGACTCGTGCATGTGTTCTGCTGTCCATTTTGCTGGCAAGTAGCAGAGCATGACCCCATAAACCATGCTTCATGGCAGACTCCAAAGCATCCTAAGAAATACAGAAATTAGTTCCCTGGGAATAGCTTAACACACTACTCAGGTAAACAATTATTGTTCTAGGATAGTAATTTGTGACTGGACGAAAAAATGTTTATTTAGATCAAATGCTAACACATGAACATCGTTCTGTTTTATATTCTAAACTGTAGGGTGTAACATTTTTCCATATCAGTGCAGTGCCATGAAATACCACACACACTGCAAGCTGCAGAAGTGATTTCAGCTGATGCCTGGACCACTAAGATTTGTGAAACAAGTAAACACAGACAGCGAAGTATTGGAAACAAGAGTGTAAGAACTCACCTTCTTGCGGCCATAAAGCAGCAGCTCTCTGAATCTCTCTGTCTCTTTCTCAAGACTGTCAATCACAGTTATAAGACTATCAGTGAGAAAGGAGAGCTGGGCTTCACCAGATTCTTCTTCCGCTTGTTCTAAAGCATCATTAGTGAAATCAATCAAATTTGCCTCATTAGGGGACTTCCCAGGAAGCCACACTGTTTTATGATCTCGGAGCAGAAGTTCTGCCAGGTCTGTTCCCACAACAGTCTACATATGTAGAGAAAAAAAAAACAACCAGAAAAGAAAAAAACCCACATTATTTCAACATTGCCTTCATTTTAATTGTCACTTCAACAACAATGTGTGAATAACAGCCCCTCTGAACACAAGTGGCCAGTTTACTTGCTCCATTAATCTGTGAACCATTCCAAGGTAAGTCACTGTATGGATATTAGTGTCTTTTACATAAATACCATTTTGTGTATAAAACATTTGAGGATAGATACAAATTAAACAACAAAACATACCCCATTCTGCCTGCACAACAGTACAATAAAGTCCCAAAGCAGACTTGCAGATTCTTTGTCAATTAAATTCTCATTCTTAAAGCACTGTGCAGATTTATTTTGTGCAAAATTAATAACATCCACTTTATGAGTGTCATCCCTGAAAAAAAACAGAAAAGTTTTTAATGAGACAAACAGAAACATTCAGATCATTGGTGATTTGTATGAGGAAGAAATTTAAAGCACATGTATTATTTAAGCAGGTAAAATGTCACAAATATTTTAAGTAGTTTTAAATCCTGTAATGTGCAGACAATTAAGAGTTTGATAAAGATGCATGATAGTTATTTCTGAAATCTGTAAAAACGTACTTAGCAAGAGGACCAGGAAATGCTCTCATCTCTTCTTGCTCTGGAGAATGCTGTAACATAGTCTGAAACAGAAAAAAACCATAAGAAATTCTTATCACAATGAATTTTGCTTTTTAACAATAAAACCCACAGACCTTAACAGAACCCACTGCATCATCAAGCCTATTGCTCTTCCAGAAAATACATCTGGTGCCTTGCAACCTGCACCAGGGTAATAAATGATGAAATCTACTTTACATCAAAGTCAATTTGCAGCAAAATATAATAATCTTTCTCACATCTCCTTAATCATTGGGCAGAATCAGAGTCATTTAGGTTGGCAAAGACCTTTAAAACTATGGAGTCCAACTGTAAACCTAACGCTGCCAAGTCCAATAAATTTCCTGATGCTACAGATCCAAGTTCCCTCTCTGCTTCCAAAAGAAGGACATGTATTCCACCATTTCCCTTTACCTCCATACTGTGTATTTCAACCAGAGCTGGCTGTCCTTCTGAAGGCAGGTTTGGCAGCACTTTTATTAAGAAGCCCCCAGGACCAAATCTAGCACAGATATGAGGCACTGAAAATTTCTCAGGCGTTGAGGGCCTTAAAGGTGCTGAAATGAGAAGAAAAGAGAAAATAAGAACAGGCAACCTCTCTTTACACTAAAGTAAACTTGCCAGAGTATTTATCCTATCCAGTAATCCTGCAGTACTAGTGGATAAAAACGGCCATTCAATGTGGCTAAACTTTATAAGCAACAATTAATCAGTTCAATTATAGTCCTGAACATTTGCAACAACAAGAACAAAACTAGACTATGGAACTTTGAAATCCACTTCTTTTTTTTCCAATGCAGGGGTTTGATTGCTTTTATCGACACGTTTCTGTGATCTCTGTACAAATATATGACACATCTTCAAAGAGATGATAAACTTTGTTCATGGGTACAGATGCTGTAAAAGAGCATTTATTTCCTGTTCAGAGGCTCAGTCACTAGATGAAAGGCATCTCATATGCCACAAATACTAATAGGGGCAAACTACTACTGGTAGACAACCTCATAAGCAAAGTGCCTCCCCTCCTCCTTCCCCAGTGGTGCAAATACCTTGTTCTACAGCTGGCCAGCCAGTTTCAGTCGGGTAGCCATAGTCTGGAAAAGACTGTTGTCCATCAAAGTTAGCATCGTATCCTCCATAGGAATAATCTGCATGGAGCGACACGGCCTGTGCAGCCGTTTCGTAGGGATGGGCAGTTAGATCATGGTTACTTCTATACAGCTGGCTCTAAACAGATCACATTAGTAGCTGTTAGCAGAGAGCATGGAGCTACATAGAGCAACAACACTGCAAGCATTACTCAAGACTGAGCATCCACCCCATGTTCAATTCTTTATACTGTTTGCAAACCTGGCTTACTACATAATTTGCAAGAGCTACACTGTGAGACACCTGCAGCAACAGGTTTTGGAAGACAAAAATATCTTGGTGTTTCCTTCAGTGTTTTTTACTACCACCTGATCTGTTCACATCACATCTGTTCAGTTCTCTCATGACAGAATGTTTATTTGTAAAGAGTAACATTACAGAATGAGTTATAGGTTCAAGTATTGCTGTATCAGCAACAATGGATCACAATGTTCATCTCCACAGTAACATACTGGCAGAAAATCTCCACTGATTAGACTTGTGATTGCTAAATTACTCCAGGTGCCTAAAGATTAATGCCTCAATCATGTCCAATACTAATTAAAATATTACTAAATGAATTAAGAGCTCCAACTGGAAAATCATGTAAACTTCCAAGAAACATGATGAACTGACACATGAGAATACAGCTAAAACGGACACATTCTACTAGCAAAGGCTGTACATCAAAAACCACCCAAATATGCTGTAAGTATAAATACTTGAAAAGCACAGCATAAGTAGGTGAGTAATCAGTTAGATTTGGTTTTAAAGTCAAAATAGCATCATATAAACATGGAGTTAGTCTTTTAACAGACCCCAAGTTCAGTAATAGCATTCATGTTTGTGGTGAGAAAACCGCTGAAAGCCAGACATGATTAACTACAGCCAAGCACAGTGAGGGCAAAGTTCTCACAAACAGCAAATGGATTCAGTAAAGGAAAATTCTCATTACTGTCTGTGGCAACTTGCACAGCTGAGTGCTGATTTTGGTTAGAGCTCTCTTGACAACTGTGATAAATATTTAATTTCAAAACTACGTTACAAAAGAGCCTCAACTCACAGAATAAAAGTTTTCAAACTACTTCTTCCCCGAGCTAAACCCAGAAATATTTCCTTATTTTGAATGTTTCACCCACCCCTACCACACAGAGAGGCCCAACCCAGTCAGAATAATACTAAATGTGGCCACTTGAAACTCACTTGCTGAGAGCGAGAGCTGAAGCTGCTCTGGTGGCTGTGGAGGCTGCGGGAGCTGCGCAGGCTGTGCCCGGAGTGCTCACTGTGCACGCTGCGCCGCTCAAACTCATCCCCGTAGGGATCTCTGGGGGGCTCAGATTCATCATCAAAGCTCCCAGTAAAGCGAGGATCGTACCTCCAGTTATCTTCATACTGGTCATGTCTGGAGAACAAAGAAACATACAAAGCCAAAAATTAGCACAGCCACCCAGATGCCTGAGGGAAGTGACTTCGCTGGGTGCCTGTCAAGAAGGACCTGACTTCAGCAGGGCTTCTAGATTATTTCCTAGATTTAGGCTTTTACTACAGTAAACAATCTGACATTTCTTCAGGAAGCTCATGCACCAGAATGGTTGAGATCAAGACCAACATGCTCAGAGTCTGTTCTAGGAAAACCCAAAGAATGTTTCCCTGATCTGAAAACAAGTCCTACTACCTTAAACCCTTTATGTAAGAGGGATGTGACAGCTCATCTGTTTTTCCTCAATGACCTACGTGAAAGCTACAGAAAGGACAAGCAACACATTACTGAAATGCCTGTAATACTGCATTGCAATAGTCTGCTTCAGGATGCATCTACAGTCCTGGAGAATAGGGACAGGATTTCACTTACAAAGCTGCACAACACCCTGCAATTCTGATGCCCAATACAATGATCATAGTGATTAACAAATTTGAAGGCTTTGGGGCAGCTCTTCAGCAAATCAAGTAGTATTTCTGCTAGTGCACAAGCTGAGCCTCAGCCTTTGCTTTTACACTTCCTGCCATAACTCAATTTTCTGGTGACACATTTGACTGTGGGGATTCAGCCCAGAAGAAATCAATACCAGACTCTCTGCCTTCACTCAGACACACACACTAGTTCTCTGACTGTCATCAGCACACAGCTGGAAAAAGCCTTGAGAGAATGTGGACTGAATGGACAAACCTGTTGCCATATGGATATGCTTCTCTCTTCTGGTAAGGGTTGGGTTCAGCATCATACCAATACCTCTGATCATAACCTCTGGGATCTCTGTATCTGGAGTCATATCTAGATGAATAATGTTCCCAGGAACTTGGATCTTTGGAACATAAAAATAAAGGTTTTAGGTATTCAAAGTCATTGCCTAAAAACTCTTTGTACTTCTCTCCCTTTAATTACATTGTAACCTGGTGCTGAAGCACACAACAATAGCAAAGTAATGTACTTAAAGCTCCATACATATGTCCGCTCATTTTTAGTTTAAAGCAATAATAAAAACAACTACAAAATCAATTTCACTCCTTTCAGAGCAATGCTGTTATAACAGCTGGATAGATACTCTTGAAGGGACTGTTTTCTATCAGACAGATATATTCTACAACTTTAAAACTTCATCATAACATGACAATAACTCAACAAATATTAACAAGATCTTCGTGATCAGCTTTTACATCATGTCTCAAGATGTGGACAGACGTTGCTTAAAACCCTCCTAGGCACTAAACAAGCAATTATCTTCAGGTTCCCCTGCCAGCATGTTTCTCTGGGCATCCAGGTAATTATGGACAAAAACAGATTCTAGTCACGACTCAATTTCTCTTTACACCCACCTAAAATTTACTTCAGAAGTCTGCCTGCAGGTTATATACCAAGGATACACCCCAGGGAATGACAAACTTGCATCACTTTCAAGAAAACTATTCTGCAGACTTACCATGGTGTGCTTGCACAAGGGAAAGGCAAAGGCAAGTCTGGCAGTGAGGAAAGCACTTTATTTTCTATTTGCTACTTCTGCTGAATAAAAACCATCCAGGAAGGATGGCATAAAGAACTGAAGTAGGCCAAAGATCAATTTTCAACAAGCATAACTTTATTCTTGCTGGCTGTCAAAAGGTTATCAGCTTTATTAACACAGAAAAACATTGTAATTCCCTGATCTTAAGGTTACGTTTTTGTTTAAACCTGAATTTTTCTATAGAAGCTTGCAGAGCTAATTGGGACACCTCACCTCCATAACCATACGAGTTTGGGTAATAGCCTGGATAATAATCACTCCATCGACCTCTTCTATAATAATCTTCAGGATACTCTTGCCTGAAAGAAAGCACCTGGGTATAAAAAGTTGTTCCTCCCTCAGCCTCTTCTAAAGTCAGCAGGAGACATAAAGAACTATGAGCCACAACTGGTAGAGTTTCATATTTAAAATAATGCATTTACAGGAAAACAGAGATTCATAAAATTAAGACTTTACAAACCAACATGTCACTAAATTGGTGTGTGCCATAAAAAGCTGACTGACAGTCCTTACTGTACAATAATCCAGTGACTTTTACAAATTGCTTTGGTAATAAGTTTAATTACTTACAATTAATCACAAAAACTACTGCTGTAATTAGCATGCTTTAAACTGTTTCAACACAGAAGTCAGTAACTTAACAAGTAATGAAGTAATTGCTCCCTCAACTTTAACAGTGTTTTTTAAGACAGCTTATGGTGATAAACAGGGAACTGTGGTCTGGAGAAAAGGTCATGAAAATGGGTCAGAACATGAGCTAGCTTTTCAAAGATAATTCTGAACAAAGAGTTCCAGCCTCCAGGGCTGCCACTGAGGCATCTGCCACAAACATAAAAGACAGTCAGAAAAGAAATAAACCCAAAGAGCACTACACCTTTCTTTGGGTACCTCAATAAGATATCAATATTTAATCACTTTGTTTGACCTGGAGCTGATCCCAACCTGCATCTGACAAGTACACAGAATATCAACCCTGTGGAGCCAGTCCTGCCATCATCCCAATGCTCTATTTTCACCCTGCACTCTCTGTTTCTCAATCTCAGCTTCTCAGTACATGTAGAAATGTTTTGAGTTGTTACCACATCCTGATATTTAATGAATAAGTGTGAGATGGCATTGAGGTGCAATTTTAACAGAGCACATTGCTACCCAACCAATTTTAGGCATCTTCTAGGTTATTTCCCTTCTCAGTAGGCTTGGAGGAACAGTGTGTAGGAAAGGCTTGTTTTTCATGGGAGCAAACAGAGAGGACTGAATAGAAGAGAATACTAATTTACAGAGCCTGTGTTAGAACACAGATTGTCAAACAAAGAGGACAAGCATAAAAATATTTCTTAAACCAACACATCAGAGTAAATCAGTGCATATGCAAAAGATAATTAGAATATTTGTAGTTGCAAGAATCACATCACTTTTGAAGTAAAAAGAAACGTGTGGTCAATACTTGAAAAATTCACACACCATTTTTAGGAGACCATTCCACAATTCTGACAAAAGACAGAAGATGGATGTTACCTGAAAACTGCAGTATGTATGTACTCGTGTACATGCACATATACTTAGATGTACAGATATGTATATGTCTATACAGACTGTGTATACATACATGCACAGGAGGTAAAGATATCTAGTGCCAATGTGGAACACTGGGATCTTTCATGCTCCTCTACAACTGATGATACAAGTGATAGAGCAAACTCCAAAGTGGCCAAGCAAGTCAAGTGATGCTCCTCCCTGGTGAGAAGTTTGCTAACACAGCACCTGCCTCTGCAGAGGAGGATATTTGATCTTATCAAATCAGGTTTATCCACCTAATCTTCTCAGTCTCCTTCAGAAAGATGCTATTCCCCTCCCCAGAGGTTAAAAAGCTGCATCATCGACGCCGGCACAGGGAGGGCAAGTCTCAGCCACTGTCACACTGACTTTGGCATTTGTAGGCTCTGCTGCCCTGCAGCACCACAGCTCCCTGCACTGCCCTGTCATGCTGACACAGCTACCCCTGCTACCAACAGGCTTTGATCTGCCCACTGCTACCTGTAGGAAATTCAACCTCTTATAAAAATAGTACAGAAGAATAGTACACACCAGGAAGTGCTGCTAGGTTATCTCATTACAGAATCTGACAGTGCACTTAGATTCACTTAAGAAGGTGATAGTAGTTACCACAGGCAGCTGCAACCATTGTTTTTTATTCCTCACAGCCAACACACACCTTCTGTAATCTTCTGGAGGTGGTAAGCAAAATGTTGTGTTGTTAGTTTGAAGCCTGCTCCATGAGTGAACTACCAACAACAAATACTACAAAGGGTTTCATTTCCAGACAGGTAATTGGGGTTGTCCCTTGGAAACCTGCAAACTCACCCACCAGATAAAGCAACAGATAAAGCAACCTTCACATGTATTTGTAGCTCATACAAACTACTTCTACAATCAAAAAGCAGTAATCCCTGGAAGGCAATTTGCTGCTTCTTGCTTGAGAAATTAATTAGACTTCACTTCTGCTTTTTATTTAATATTTGCAAGTAGTATCTGAACATATTGTTTCCTTCTCTCAATTTTTTTATTTCACTATAATCATACAAAGGCTTTGAAGTTTTCCTAATTAACGTGCTACCTGCATCAAAACCTGTAGTGAACCCAGTGTGTGAAACAACAGAAATTACTGTGGAATGTGTCAGTATCCTTTTCAGACGTGGCATTTTGATACCATCTGTTCCTATGGCAGCACACAATGATTTTCTGAACTTCCTCACTGCACCTTATACTGTTAAACTTCAGCAGGCATCACTGTACTCACTGCTTGAGGGTGCATTCCAGATCTTTACTCAATTTAGGAATCCCATACCTGGAAGCAGGCCTGTCAGAGCAGTGACTGGCTCTGGAACTGGGGCGCTCGGGCTCAGGATACCGGTAGTTCCCAGGCTCCATGTAAGCAGCATTGCTGCCATCATAGGGTCTGTACTGTGGGTCGTACTGTCCATAGGTGTCCTCCTAGGGAAAAGATGGACAGGTAAGAGCAGAGGAACCCCACCTCTGAGAAGAAACTTCTCAAAAGAAACCAATCACCATGCACGTCACAACAGTGATACCTGAAGAGATGCAGATGAAGTAAAGTCTCTTAATACCCTAAACTGAAGACAAAAATATTATTGTCTGGACTAAAGGCAGCTCAACCACTATGCTAAACTGTCAGTAATTCAAGCAACAGATGGAACCAAATCTGAACATCTAAGCAGCTAAGACAGTAAAAAATGCCAACTTCTTCCAAAGAACCAAACAAATTGCTACCAGCTGACATCTGTGCCAACTGCAAGTGGTATTAGCAACTACTTTAAGTTTTTATAATCTTTTAATGTAAGTTTTGTAACTGCTATCTGAATTTTCCATACAATTAAATACTTATATAAAATACCGAATGTCAATAATGATACAACCATTTAAATTCATAATTCAAAGATGATAATTATTAACATCTACTGAGGGAAGGAAAAAGAAAACTTTACCATGTAATAAAGATGAGCTGTTCTGGGGTCTGCAGGAGGATAGGGTGCTGGGTATGGAGGCTGGTAAGCATCATACGGATGTCTGTAGTAGTAGTAAGGGTTCTGAGGTGGCCCAAAGGCATCCTGAGGGGTCTGAGGCAGGGGTGGATGCTGCAGGTCTTGCTGTGCACTTGGCATGGCTGTCTGACTGGTGGTGGTGGGAGGAACTGTGGAGGCTGGAGCACCTGAAGGCTGCCCAGATGCTGGTTGTTTGTCAGGACTTGTCTCATCGTACCTTGTGGGAAGCTGAGCCGCACTTGCCTCCTGGGGACCCTCAGGATGAGGATGGTTGCTCAGCACCTGGCTGGCTTTAGTCCCTGCTCCAACTTGGTAGTTGGAAGGAACCAAGGACTGCCCAGAAGATGCTGATGGCTGCATCTGAGCTGGTGGCATTTGTGGTTGAGATGGCAATGCTCCCTGTACAGCTCTGCCTGATACAGCCTCATGCTGTACATCTTTTGTCACCTGTTGATAGAAATGTTGGTTGTCATGCATCTCTGGACCCACCTGGCCAGCACTACCAGCTGACTGTTGAGGACACACTGGGCCACCAGACAGTGGCTGATTATGGACCTGCACAGAATTACTTGCACTGCTTTTCTCCAAGGTCCGTGGCACCGTGAAGTCGAGCACTCCAGCAGCTTCTTTGTTGCCATTGGCATGATTTGCAGAACTATCATCCTGGACTACAGAATTAACAGGGGGCACTAGTGCACTTGCACTTCCACTGGGGAGATTTGTCCCAGGAGAAACAGATGAGTTAGCTCCTGGCTTGCTAGTAAATTCAGGAACAAAACCTTCCATAGTAACATTCTTTTGCCCCTCTGGAGCCAAATTAAGCGGTGTTTTCATAAGCAAGTTTGCAGGCTGATTAGCAGCAGCATCAGAGGAATTAACAGGGCTTTGTAATAAATTATGTTTTAACAGATTAGTATTTGGAAGTGCATTAACTAACAGAGATCCAACTTGCATCACAGGCAATGGCACGTTTTCCCCAGAAATGATTCCACCAGCATGTGAAGTTTGGGGGCCCATTGCAGGCTTGTCCCCAACCCCAGAGTCCTTCATTGGCTGATTGTTTTCATTGCTGCTTAGCTGATTAGATAGAGAAATAGAAAAATTAATTGGCTGAGCCAAGTTATAGCTTTGATTAGGCTGAGCAATCAGGATAGGCTGATTTTGCAAAGACTCTGTAGGTGGAGAAGACAACAAACTTGCATAACCAGAACTTGCCTGAGACTGAAGTGCCTCTTCTTCTCCCATTTTGGGAGGATTTTCAAGATTTTCAGAAGATGTATTTCCATCTTGGGAGAGTGGGACAGCAATAGTCCCTGGTTTACTCAGCTGTTGATTAGACAGGCCTTCTTCTGGTGGCTGGATGACTTCTACAGTTTGTTTGGCAGGTACATACACTGCAGGAGCAGCAGGAGCTAGAAGAACATTTCCCCCAAAATTAGGTAACTCATTTTGAGCCCACAAAGTTGTTGCTGGGCTATCACACTTCTTAACTCCTCCCTGAGCTCTTGTTGAAGACCTTCTCTCAGATCCCAAGTGTATGTTTTCCATAACTGGTCCAGAATGCAACGTATTTCCAGCTTCACCAGTGACTGCCAGAGGCAGTGGGTGTACCTGAGGCATGAAAATAGTTTCCAGGTTATCTGGTGGCTGTTCAAGATTGCCTGGTGATGCAGCTGGCACAGCTGTATTCTTCTTGATATTCTTTTGGTTTGAATGGTTCTCTCTTAATTCAACCACCATCTTTGCTTGGTCAATCTCTGCAGGTTTTATACCAACCCCATGAGACCTCACAGGTTCAAAAGAACTATTTGCACTTGTCTGAAACACTCCTGTAGGCTTAGGAGGACTTGGAGTTGCAGGCTGGGATAGATTACTATGGTAGTTCTTGCTCAGGTTTAGTTCACTTGAGTCACCTCCCAGAGGAGAGGAGTCAATCTGTTTGAAGAAGCTAGCAGAAGATTCCTCATCAGGCTTCCCACTTTCTTGCTGGATAAATGTACCAACTTGCTCTGGGGGTCTTGCTGAGCTTGAAGCACTCCTGTGGCTCATGGTGCTGTAGTTTGAAGATACACTATCTGGTCGGACAGGGTGAGGTAAAAAATCAGGTGCCTCCAAATTTGGTCCTCCTTCAGCATGGCTCACAACAGCATTCTTTGGAAGCATCTGACCTGGAAAGGATCCATATCTGTATAGATCAGGAGCAGCAGCAGGGGATGAAGAGCTCATGTTCTGTGGTTCACTTGGCAGCACTTCCTGATTCTGAATGCACTCCAGGTTCTCAACATTTTCACACTGTGACCCACCATTCCCAGACAGGTCACCTATGCGCCCCTTGTCATCACTGACAAACATACCGTGCTTAGCAGCATGTGGCTCCTGCTGACTTACAATTTTAGGGAAGTACTGGACATCCATTCCTTTTTGTACCATCTCGTTGGCTGAACCTGTAGCAGCCTGCACCTGAGACAGAACATTAGGTGCAACCCGCTGAGGATGCACTGGCTGGTGATACAAAAACGCTGAATTTGGCTGAGAAGCATCAAACTCTGTTTTCTCAACTACGTAGCGTTTTTCAGATGAAAGTATTTCTTCATTTTCTGCCTCATCCCCTTTGAAAAACATGGAGAGAGTTCCTGAATCTCGATCTGTCGGAATAGGTCTGTTTGTGATTTCAGACATACCTGGAGACTGGTTTTTGGGGTTATTTTCCTGAGCCGTGGGAACAACAAAACTGGAGTCTTGCAATGGTGGCTGTGGGTAAAACTGTTCCTGGTATGGTTGGTTTAACCAAGCAGGAGTCATTTCTGTGTTCTGCCTAAACACATTTCCAGGCTGGATGCTGTTTGTCTGGTGACTGCTATTGGCAGTGCCATTTCTCCCATTCTTTTCACAACCAACTGATAAAGGTGCTTGCATATTTTGTGGAATACCTTGGTGTACAGGACCCTGCTGTAAATTTGTCTGTGGAGAAGGATGAGATGTGCTAACAGAAGACTGAGAAATGTTATGAGCATCAGTCTGAGAAGATGGCTCAGGATAGGGCACAAAATTTCGAACTGGAGACTGCAGGTTACCTTGAGCAGGCCTCCACTGAGACACGGGCTGCTGAGGGGGAGAAGGGAAGAGTGCTGCTGCTGTGGGTCCTGAAGGAACATCATTTGGACCTCTAAGAACGTCTTGTCTACCTCCAGGTTGGTTTGATGCAGACACCATCCCAGGATGCACACTGAAAGAATTATCAACTGCAGCTCCTGTGTTATAATGCAATGGTACTGCAGCCCCATGGAGTCCCAGCTCTGCATTTGGATGCACTTCTGCAGGACTATTTATACCATATCCTGGGGATGGTGAAGGGATTGGAACATTAGCAAACGTACTGGCATTTACTCCTGGTTGAGATAGAGGAGCTGATAAAGCTGTATGCAGTCCATGAGGATTGGCCCCTGCATGTGACAGGGCAGGGTGCACAATGGCTGGCTGTGGGAGCACGGCTGGGGAAGAGCTCTGCACACCCAGTGCATTGCCCTTGGATGGAGTATCCAGAGGAGAAGCCTGTGGAGTTTGTCTGCCAAATGCAAAAGGGTCTGTCACAGGCTGCACTGGGGCAGCTGCTGCATTTGCTCGTTTAGTGAGCGAGCTGTTTCTCCAGTACAAATTCCGAGCAGCACCTGCAGGAGGTGGAGCTGCTGCTCCTGCTGGAACAGTCTGTGGAGGTTGCTGCATGGTGGCCTCTAGCAGGGCGAGATGCTGGATGACAAACCAGTCGAGGATGCTGTAGACAGGTTCCTCCTTCCACTCTGTTAAGGTAAAAAAAAAACAAGTCAGTTTCCTTTCTCCCAGTACATGCAGCAGCTCAGCAATTTTTATTTTAGAAACAAAATTACTCAGAGAACTTGAAATTAAAAGTATCTGTCTCTTCTCCAGAATGCATAAGAAATCTACTCGTAACACTGCACTTCCAAATCCAAGTCCGGTATCCATGACATTTAATGCTGTCTGGAACAATGCACGTTATTTAACAACCATATTAGCAAATATCTCCAAGTCAGAGTAATTGAACACAGTTCAGTCCTGCACAAATGTTACAATCTCAGACTGTTAAGAGCACCAATGATACGACACTGTTATATTTCCCCAAGTTTGTTTTAAGCAGAAGTATGGATCACAGACAAGACACAGCAGCAGTCACCCTGCCACAGAACCTGCAAGCACCATGGCAAGCCCCATTTAATTATAGAGTTGAGAAATCATTATCTAACTCTAATTCCATCTGAGACAATCTTCAGCTCTGTTGCAGTGTTGCTTCCTGTGAATGGACCTTTTTACAGGTAAGATGAGAAGCAAGGATCTCACAATAGAATTAATCAAATGTTCTTCCCTCAAAAGAACACAATCCAGTTTTGTTTTCATCAAAAAAACACTGTGTAGGCCAGGAATGTTTTTTGTTTTGAGAAAAGCAAATATTCTCTCTTCTAGATGAATGCTGCATAACAGTAAAAGTGCATTTAAGAATACAAGACAGTCAACTCTCCCACCTATTAATTAATCAATAATCTTGCTTTAACACTAGTGGGACTCCAGCAGAGTGTCAGAGCTATGGCTGGGTGGGAAGGACAGCACAGAAGTATTCCAACTCTGCCAGTAACAATTCCAAACAACACCAGTTAGGAATTTGGTGAACAGGAAGTTCAGTAAATTAAAGAGGAACATGCATTTTTTTCAATTTTATCACCGCTTAACAATCTGGGGAGGAAAGAAGGTGACAGCTCCAAACAACACCAGTTAGGAATTTGGTGCACAGGAAGTTCAGTAAATTAAACAGGAACATGCTTTTTTTTTCAATTTTATCACCACTTAACAATCTGGGGAGGAAAGAAGGTGACAGAACTAGAGCTCTCCTCAGTATTTGTCCAGCTCAGTGAAGTTTTAGCGACTCGTGCCAGTCTCAATCTCTAATAGTACACAAGAAATATGGTTTATGTCACATAAAATGAATTACCCACAGCAAGTGTTTCATTCCAGATGCTCTTTTGCCTACAGAAGGCAGAGAAAAGCTGTGCAATTTTTACTTGGGTTTTATTGTTTGGTTTGGGTTTGTGTTTGTTGGGTTTTGGCATCTTGTCTGCAAGTGTAGTAAAATGGGAAGCCAGAGAAGTCAGATATTTGTAATCAATCAAAAATTTTAATAGCTATAGAGGAGTTAAAAAGCAAAACACTTCTGGTTAACAAAAATACAGAGTGAACAGTGTGTAACAACATGTACTTCATAGAGGTTTATAACTAAAAAATTCCAACCAAAAGCAAACTGACTGGTACCACAGCACAATCTATACAGACTTTATTGGACATCAGCACAACTTGCCCTAGGGAAAAACTGTTCTACTTATCACTGCAGAACCCAACAGTCCTATTTATAATCCAAGCCACTTTCAGAAGGCCTGAAGTACCAGTCATCAGAGGTGGGGTTGTTAAATTTCTCTCCCATATCCATATATTTCACTCCTATATCTTAAGTAAATTTGTTAAAATTTGTGTTATGTTAAAATGGGAAGGACAATGAGAAACTGACTTCAGCAGAAAAGCACTGAACAGAAACCTTCAGGAGCTTCATGCATCATTTGCAGTTGTCTCCCAACATTCTTTTTTAAAACCCAGCTGCCTGCTGAATTCCTGTCAAGGAATCCTTACAAAAATGCTGTAGCACTTGAGAATCTCTTCTCCTGTTACACCACTGAGGTGAAGGTTTTCCAGCTGGGCAGGCTCACTGCCAGCCAGGTTACCAGGGAACAGTCACCTCACTTTCCACAGGCTTAAGGAACCCCAGGCTGATCTGGACACCTCCATTTATTTTTCATCATGTTACTGTATTAACCTACCTGCAAAAACTCCCCTCTCCCCTCTCAATAAACTTGTGGTTTTATGCAACATACAGCACAGTGGGGAGAAAAAAAGCTAATTAAAAATGTACCAAGGCAGCTACCTCCTGGGATGCACTAACTTAAGTGAACAACATGTGGGCAAGTACCAAGCAGTTCTGCTCTTAATAGAAAAATTGTTTCTGAAATACAGTTGAGCACAAAAGCCAAAAGTCTTTACAACTTCAATACCCACTTTCAAATTTCTAATGTGGACATCACTCCTTTCTGTGCCTTATCAGATGTATACAAAGAAAAAAAATTAACACTTTGCCACGTTTTTGTAGCAACCAGTAATTAACTAACTAGAAAAAGTGTGGAGTTCTACTTTAAAGGGCTGGCTTGCCATTCCTGTAACAGGAACTCTGATGTTGCACTACAGGAGTTCAATACGAGGGTATCAGACTCCTTACAGAAGCAAAGTTAATATTAACAGACTGCACACAGTAGTAAAAGCACCCAAGATTTGAGGAATTAAGTCCAAATAAAGTGAACGTGCCCACGTCAGGGAGTTTAAACAGAAGATATCAACTCAGTGGTACTGACCCTCCCTGCCCCCAGTCCAGTATTAACAGAAATGCTGATTTTAGAGAAATTTACAAATGAGAAATACCTATGTAAGTTAAGAGCTTTATCTAGTTTGGAAATTCTAAACTTTCAGCAGGTTTATTGACAGATAATGCAGAGCAGCCTGTAAACATTAGTCACCAGAAATAACAAGTGCAGAAGGTGTTTCCAGACATGCCAAGTAAATGTTTCCAAAGAAGAAGAAAAGAAAAAAGATTAAAACTACCCTCTAGAGAAGGCCATAAATTTCACTAGACAAGCTCTACAGCCATTATTAGTTTTAAACTCCTCAGTGAAAATGTATCTGTGTGAAGGAATTATTTATTTGGAGGGGGAATTAATTTAATCCTATCTCCAAGGGACATAAGCTAAATAAATTACTCTTAAACAAGTTTGCCCAGAAAGCAGGTGACAGGGTACTAGTGTTAATTCTCATGTGTGCTCATAGATACACACACGTGCATGTTCCAAACCATAAACAACATGTCAACATACACAGATTACTAATGAGAGCAAAGGGAACAAAAAAAAGCTGAGTGAATAAAAAAACCCTCAAAGATAATAATAGCAAGGAAATGAGATTTGCAGCTTTAAAATCCGTTTCTGAGACACTGGTTTTTCAGATTTCTTTTTCTGTGCAGACTGCTGCACCTCTGGCCACATGTGGCCACACTCAGCCCAGCCACAGCCCGTGTCTCCAGCACTGCTGGCAGCTTCCCACCAGCTTCCTACCAGCTTCCCACCAGCTTCCCACCAGCTCCCCACCAGCTTCCTACCAGCTCCCCACCAGCTTCCCACCAGCTCCCCACCAGCTTCCCACCAGCTTCCCACCAGCTCCCCACCAGCTTCCTACCAGCTCCCCACCAGCTTCCCACCAGCTCCCCACCAGCTTCCCACCAGCTTCTCACCAGCTTCCCAACAGCTTCCCCCCCACCAGCTACCCACCAACGGGCACGGTTGGTAAA